CACTGTTTTTATATTATTTTTGTTTTCCTTCCCTTATGTCCATCTGTTTTGTCTCTTAAAGTCTTCATATGAGTGAAGTCATTTTGTCTTTCTCTGACTGACTCATTTCATTTAGGATAATACCCTCCAGTTCCATCCACATAGCTGCAAATGGCAAGATTTGATTCTTTTTGATTCCATGAACATGCTAGAAATCTCAAAATGTCATATCCTGCTCCATTCAGAGAGGCTCAGGACACTAAGAATAGGAAAGTGCAGAAAGAAATACTGCAAAATGCAGCCCTGTGGGGTTTCCTCTGCCTGTCCCCTGGGAGGATGACGTGGTGGGGTGGCTATAGATTCTGGCAGGAGTGGCTAGAGACCTTTGAAAACTAAAGATAGAATCAGTAGTGGTCATCTGAAACAAATATGCAGTGAGAGGAAACTCCAAAAGCTTCAGCACTAAAAGGAGAAACAGAGTGGGGACCAACAGAGAGGGGTAGATAGCAGAACAATGGCTATGGAAAGCAAAGTGGATAGGGATTGTCAGTACCCAGTGTCAGGCAGCTATCAAAATCCAACCCTCTGAGGAAAGAAGATGTCACTCCATTGTAAGTCACATATGAGTGGCTGTGGAGGGAATACTGTTTCCAGAATCCTCAGGCTCAAAACCTGGAGCCAAGCAGGAAAACAGTACAAATAATTAAGGGAGTAGTGGAATTAACTTACAGGGAATTCTTTCTACTTTTCTTCACCTGGTGAGATCAAGTGTAGTATTCATTTCACATCAGATAGGTCTATTATCAGGGAACTGTATCCTGTTCTGGCAAGAGATGATCTAGTAGATATTTTTCCATTCCAAACTTCAAGGATGTAACAAATTATGTATAGTTTGGGAAAGCGATGCGCTAGGCTTGCTGTATCGGGGGGCATATTTAAAAATGTGTAGGATGAATAAATGTCAATGAGGGAAAAGAAATGCAAGAGAATGTGTTACAAAAGGAAAAAACAAAAGCCTGCTTCCTTTGCATTTATACAGAATCTGTATAGAGAAGGAAGTCCAACCCTTATAGAATAAACAAAGTCTAATAACATCAATGATTTGGAGTCAACTCAACATACAGAAAGTCTAACATCAGTGACTTGGACAGACTCCATTTGCTTTCACAAAAATATACCTCATACTAGAAATCCATTTTGAATAGCAAATACCATACCCAACTTGCAGATGGAAAAATTAATCATTGAGAAAATATTTTATTTGTGTTGAAACAGAATGAGTCAGTGAAAAACAAGAATATGACACAATTCTCTGGCTGATGAAATGAAAAAGACAGCTAAGGTCTACATATTTCTATCAAATTCAAGTTACAAGGAATTTTTCTTATGGCTATAATTCAGTGTATAATTTGTCACTCAAATATCACCACCCTACAATTACATTAATGAAACATCTCTAATCATTTACAAAGCACTCTTCTGACACTCCCTTCAGGTGTATGTTCATGACTGGATAATTGACGCATTCTTGGGCTGCTTTGGATGCTGTCTATATCTGCTGTCAAAAAACCCATTTAGGTTCCTGGTTTTTTGAGTGATGCCTTAAAGATTAAAAAGCATCAAGTCAGCAAGTTAATGGCTCATTTTTCAATGTGGCCTTTCTTTGACACCTATTTTTGAATTATCCACTTTGCACGCCCATTTTCCATGGCCATTTTCAAAGTGGAAGCCTGCAATTTTTGTACCAGTTTAGAGAATTTTAGAGTGGTTAGAGCTCATTCTGGCCAAGTAAAAAGAGCTCTTTGGACAGGGCTTGAGAGAGTGAAACTGTCTGTCCCTAAGGTGAGGTGGCTCTGATTTGGAATCCTGGCTTTTCCTCAGACTGTTTGTGTGACCTTGAGCAAATCCTCTAACTTCTTTGAGGCTAAGTTTCTTCATCAGTGAAACAAAGGTGATAGTCTGAACCTCAGAAGTTTGTTGTGAGGATGTAGGACCTAGGCTGAATCGGGGCTTGGGGGTGGCTAAAATAGCGTGTAGTGAACGGTGCATGCGGGGAGGGGTTACTGTCCCCAACATCACACCAGGTTAAGGTGAAGGCCAGTCTCAGGCCCAACTCTGCCACACATATGGGCATTTGTTAAACACACATTTGTTAGCAAGCAGGCATGAAACCATCCAGGCAGGCTGTCTGTGAGCTCCACGAAGCCTTAGCTCTTTTCGCTTTACGTACTCCAAGTGACTGTCACCTCACATAAAAGACTCATGTTGGAAATCCTCATTATTGATGGCTTGAGACAGGCCATTTAGGGATCACTCGTTGAGCTCTGTCTCTAAAGATGAATCTACAGGCTATCAGGTTCTTACATTCTGTTCAGCAGGGTGGGGATTGTCTCTAAAATATTTTAACCAATCTACATACCCTAACCTCTAATTTCATCAGTAAGAGCCATTTGTAAAGCTCATGCCTCTTATTTCTGACATTTCTTCAAACATCAAAACCTCAGGTGTTGGTGGACATATGACTAACAGAAAGACTTGGGGTAGCAATCATGGGAATGTGGTCTTAGTGATATTCTACCATCCAACCACCACCCTATGAGGATGAACTCTCAGAGCAATAGAATTCTCTAGAGCTGTAGTTTAAACCAAACTGAACATATAAAATATCACATGGTCTATGCTAGTTTAAAGTAAATGACAGACGACTTAACAATGGGAAGAGCAAACGTTTGAAATACATGTCAGTACTCATCCACTTAGGGATGATCTCTATCAAGGGTTGTCAGATTGGGCCCAACACGTTTGAAAGAACCTGTCATGGCCCAGGGTTTGGGGGAATCAGATAGGGTTCTGGGCTCCCTACTACCTTAGCCAGAGCAGCTCTACCTCCACCTAGTTTGCATTTTAGATGTTCTCACAATACTTTACTTAAGGAAGGGTTCCATAGCTGAAAGGTTTGAAAACCACTGATGAAGCCTAATGTTCATATTACAAATGGGAAAGATGAGACCCAGAACAGTTGTCACTTTTTCAAGTACAGAGAATCTGTAACAACTCCTTGCAGTGGGCTCTTTTCACTAGCATAAGCCACCTGTTTACCATGGAGGGGCTACATGCGTTGCTAAAATTAAACTCTAAGCAGGAAAAGGTGGTTTCCCATAGCATGTGCTTTACCAAATACATTACCCTGGATGACCTTTATGTGTTCCTTTACTGAAAACTACAACCTACTGTAGAGTATACACACTTCATTAAATAGGTTAGTTCAGCAATCAAGTCTTTCAGAAACTATGTTAACTTCAACTCACTATTAGGAAGACACCCTCTGTAGATACTCAATAAATGGGTCAGGGTAGTGATGATATAATAAAACTTCTAACCGGTTAACCTTCTCCCCAAAAGTCCCTATATTGACTTTTCCCTTTTTTCATTCAAACTGTAGAAATGGAGATAGACATTGGTTCAATGTGGATAAACTTCTTCAGGTCTTAAATTGTTTAGATCTTATTTCAGGACCCTAATGATATTTCATCCGATCTAAGACACTATCAATTGTAAAATACCATTATTTTATGTCCTGCTAAAAAAGAAAACAAATGTGCCAATTAAATATTTAAGAAACCATTGGTTATAAGACACATTTTGATTTTGGGGGTATTAAAAGAGGTGCATCTTGGAATTCATGAAGTATGCTACCACATTTGCCACTGCATAAGACATATTTTCCCCCTTGTCATATGCTCCTCCCTCCTCCCACTCTAGGCCACTGATATTTCCAATAAACAGAGGAATAGCATAGAAGGTTCAGCCTTAGGCTTTTAGAGGATATGGCTTTCTCTAAGATTGTGTTGCATTTATATTTTGACATATATAGTACACACTGATCAAAAATACTTCTTGGCTTGGTGGCCCTAGGAATGGTGATTTACCTCTCTTGATACCCGCCACAAACCTTTGGATCTGTTTCCTTTCTGTGGGATCAGCATTATTCTAGTACAAAAGTAAGTTTTAAAGACCCTAGGGGGAAAACGTCACTTCCTTCTCTTGGGAGAACACAGATCTGCCATGTTCCCTGAACATGGACCCTGTATATTTCCTGTGTCTTGAGTTGAACATTCCCCTAGTAACAGAGCTCACATCAGGCATTTCCAAATGGACCTTACCACACTTTCTAGTAATTTTGTTGAATGTGGTACCCAAATTGTCCAAACTGTATCATAAGGTAGTAAAATATTTTGTTTCCTTCGCTCAGGCATCACTTTGATGCATAACATCAAAGTGCAATTTCAACTTTTCAAGTCCACGTATCCAGTTATTCATAAGGCAACACTTTATCTTAAGTGGAAAAAATTAGGTTCTATCTTAAAAAAGAAGTTTTAATGCTTGTTTTATGTGAGTGATGCTCCTGGTTGGTCTGCATTAAACATTCTTGCCTTTTGATATCAGATGAAATATGGATAAAATTAAAATTTACAAATTCTTTCCCCCAGATTCAAATTACTGTGTCAGTATATATTCCTCACATAATTTAACATTTAGCCTATTTCATGTTTACTAGAAGATGTTTTATGTTTACTGGGGATGGAGATTAGCGTGTTATCTTAATGAATGACAAGAATCTCTGAAGTGTGATACCAGGGAACTTGGCTTTCCAGCACTCTCCTTATGTGCTGACCCACACAGTGGTGTGCTGGGGAGAAGGTAGAGGAGTGTTAATCACAGAGACCACAGAAGTGCCAGGACAGCCATAGGACATTACAGAAAGGAGGAAGGGGTTCAGGAGGTGTGAGTGCACCCCTCCTAGGGTGAATCTGAAGGAACCTGAAGGAGGGGCTAAGGTGGGATGGCTTCTGAGGATGCTGTTTCCTCCTTTCCTATCATTATGTGTTCCTTTTTCATATGAGGGAGAGGAAAATGTAAAGTGCCACAGGAGGGCAACAGCTAGAACAAACTGTCTTGAAATTCTTCTATCCATTAGGGAATCGTGAAATCACTGCACAGACCTAAAGATGAGTACCAGAAATCTGTAATAAATGGAAGTCAAATTTCCCTTTGCATATTTTTGTACTGTCATTATTGCAATTTTCTTGAGGAAAAAAGATTTAAAGATGTACTTTTTGGATGCGTTTTTTATCACAGTGATTACGGTCTCCAAGTGTCAATGCAAGTTCCTACTTTTTTTTTTTGAGTTAAATCTTCCCTGCTTTTTTCTTTTAGGCAAATATCAACATCCCCATGGGAGCCTTTCGTCCGGGAGCTGGGCAACCCCCCAGAAGAAAAGAGTGTACTCCAGAAACGGAGGAGGTGAGGAAAACTTAGTGGCAGAGCTCAGCCCTTTCTCCTCCAGACTCCTGACTAGAGTGGGGCAAAGCCAAGGCGAGTGTCAGCTCTCCAGGACAAGGGAGGCATGAATGGATGTGGGTCAAGGAGTCATCACAAAGTACATACATTTCTTTGAGCCTCTTGCTCACTTAGCCATGGAACACACTGCTCCTTACTTCTCTTTAGCCCTTTAAGGGCTTGGCACAGTTACTTGAATATGCTGAGTTTAACATGTTGTTTGTTGATAGTGTGTGTGTGTGTGTGTGTGTGTGGTGGGGGAAGCATAGCCTCTCACATGCTTTTGGTCTGGCAACAGTCACTAGCTCGGTAAGGTCTCACTTGGAACTTATTCTGAACTGAGCAAGATGTATTTAGTACAGCTTCTGATGAGTGACAAACCCCAGTGGGAGCATAGGTAATAAGCACATTAAATTACTTGTGATTCAAACAAAAAGCCCCAATCTCTGTGTATTTCCTTTGAAAAGAGGACTTTGCAAGGGAGTCTATCAATTTCCGTCTTTTTTTCCTCCCTCTAATTCTTTACCTTTCCTCTGAATTCAGATGCCCACTTGGCTGAAATGAAGGCTAAAATTCATAACAAGTGCATTAAATAGAGAAGGGTGCCTTCCTCAAGGTCTGTATTTCTTCTCCAACTGTGACTTTTCTGATGAAATTTGGAAGGTCTAATTCTGAAAAAAAAAAATGCAGGTTTTGGAGCATGTCATTAGCAGAAGACAAGGAAAGTGGAATTCAACAAAGCCATAGGGCATAGCCAACTGTATTTTATCTTTCTAAAAAGACTTATTTTTGAACTTTTGTAGGTGACCTTTTTGGTATTTGCCCCCAAAGAACACCTATCACCATTTCACAGTTTCCTAATAAAACTTTGGTTGTCCCTCATCTAACCTTTCTCCTCCTCCTCCCCCCGCCCCCCGTAAATAATTCCTGATATGGTCCCGAGTTAGTAGTTCCAGCCTCCTATCATTAGAAAGGTAAGTTTTCAAAGAAGGAGATGGGAGTATTTGAGTGATATCACCAAGTTCTGGAATTTCAGCCACTAGGTCACCTTTGATGAATAAAAAGTTTGAACTACAAGTTGAAAAAAACCCAGCACTACCCTGTTCTTATGGTACATAATCTCAAACTCTGATGCTACTGACTTGGCTATCCAGTTAACTCATAATCATGGGCTCTCCCTCTGGGACTTTGGTCAAGTATTTCTGAGCCTATGTCTGCCAAATACAATCCACTCTTTCCCTCAGAGGGTTGCTGAGAGGAGTCGGTGACATAATGGACACAGCACAGCCTACCAACCATTCAATAAATGATTGTTCATCATTTGATCTAATTATCCAATTTTCCTGAAGGACTCCTAGGCCTATTATTTTGCATATTGTAAGAAAAAGGCATGGAGAGGTTGAAGAGAGGGCAGTGGAACTTTTCCCACACTTGCATGTATCTGTAATTAGGTTTTCTTCCTGTGTTTCCCTAAACCGTGTCTGTCACTACCATGGCAGTCATTCAGAAGATGGCTTGACCCTTTTCCTCACTAAACTGATGTATGTAACAGTGGTTTTGGAGGTTTGCATCTCATCTTCCCCTATGGTACAGATGACCTTCAGTTCTCTGTACAACTGGTACTTTCCTCCTCACAAGTGTCCCAGTTAGGGGTTTGGGAAAACATTTTGCTCTCACTCTTGTCCCCAGTCTGATGGTTCCAGCACATTCTAAAATAGACAAGAACTGATACAGCCTGTTTGTGAACACTTACTTTATGACCAGCCACATGTACAAATGGCTAATCAATATTCTTCACAGGATGGAGGGAGTGAGGTATCCACAGAGATCCAGAGACCCCAGAAGTGTTTCTGGAACTGAGGTATATCTTTCTCATGGGCTATATCCCAGCTCATGGGCTGGGAGGGTGGAGCTGAGAATGGTATTCCATTACTGTATGAGCAGAAGTGAGCTCTCAGGACTTGTGGGATCTTAGGTAGGGGGAGGATCTGATGACTCAAGGCCTGGGCTGGACCTTAGAGTAAGTTTCTCATGGAAACAACATTGCAAGGGGAGCAGTTAGGCAGCTTGGCTTGGCTACAAGGTGAGTTAAGTAGGATTTTGTGGGTTTGCCACCTTTTGTCATATAGTTTGAAGGCAAAAATGGAATCTGAATTAAAAATAACCTATACAGGGGTGCCTGGTGGTTCAGTTGGTTGAGTGTCCCACTCTTGATTTCAGCTCAGGTCACGATCTCATGGTTCATGGGATGGAATCCCGAGTTACGCTCCACGCTGACAGCATGGAGCCTGCTTGGGATTCTCTAACTGCCCTGTGCATACACATGTGTTCTCTCTCTCTTAATAAATAAATAAATAAATAAATACGCAGATAAATAGATAAATAAATAAATAAATCATACAACCACACTTTTAAAAAATTACCTAATTTGCAAACCTGGAAATGCTTACTTACCTAGTTTTGGGATTTGTTGCCTAGCCTTGCATTAAGATAAGCACTGTATAAAATGGAGATCATAACATACCATCCCTGAACACAACAGGCCACCTCTATCACAGCCAGTAGCTCCCCCATCTCATGCGTGAAGAGGTTGTATCCCAGTAGGAAGCCAGGACCAGCCTTTGGCCCTCTGACAAGGCCTGCGAGTGCTGGCTGGGTCTCCAGCCCACCTATGGTCTCTGGGAGCCCTTTGCTTTGCTCACAGAGCTGGAGTACACCCTCCCTCTGCCCAGCCCAGCCAGAGTTTGGCATGTGCCTGACACAGAGGCCTTGCAGCCAAATCCTAATAAATAAGGCCAATCTTTTGGATAAGACAAGGCAGCTGCTTGTTTAAAGCGATTTGAAGGGTACTGACAAGGCTCCACTCTGCTTCCCAAATCTCTCTTTTGACTGTAATTCCATCATTATTAAGCCAGAAAATAGCATGTTGGTACTTTCTGTTAATTATTTCCCTCTCCACCTTGTCCCTTTACAAGATGCAAACACACTACTTAATTCTGGTCTCACACTTCCTAGCCATGAGACTATGGGCAATTTTCTTACTCCTTCCCTCCCTGCCTTAGGCCTCAGTTTCCTCAACTATAAAACAGGGATAATAGTAATAGCAAATGTATAGGGTTGGTGTGAGGATTAAATGAGTTAGCATATGTAACTTAGAATAGCTAGCATTGTGTTTGCTGTTATTAGTAAGTCCTCAGTGTCTAAGCATGAATGAGCACATCAGACTGTATTGCCCCACAGAGATGAGGTTAGGGGAAAACTCAATAGAGTGGTAGTAAAGAGGGAAATGAAGGCAAGATAGCTGGAAAATGGTTTACCATTTTGCCAAATTTTACAAATACTCTATAACCCCCCCCCCCACCCCAGGGGAACATTTCCCTTGACAACAGCCATTCCTGACACTGGTAAAGGTGCAGGGGCTGATAAACCTTCTCTCAAGGTCTCTTTATCTCAATAAAAGAATATCTTTCATGTCCCTTCTCAGTTCAAATATCTACGTACAAAAGAAAAAAAAGTACTACATATTAGCCAGATGGAGCCATCTGGAACCTTGCTTGTTCATGTCTTTATTTATTATAATTCTTACAATAAATTTATAGAAGAAATGGAATTGATTCCCAATTTTTTAAAAGATGAGAGAAGATTCAGTTAAGAATATGTACCACCATTAACCCCTTCCTGAGTCAATGTCATATCTACTTATTGAATATATCCACTTATAATTTCTATTATATGTGACCATACCAAATCAAGTGCTGAAAGTCTTACCTTATTAAAAAAAAACACAGTGCACTGAGGTTTTAATAACTTGAAAGTGACTAATATTAAATATTATCATCCTTTTTTCTGTGTATGTTCACATAAGTCTTTGCACATAGACATAACTATACACATTGGCTTTACATATTAAATGTGCCAACAGAGCGCATTTTGATATTACAAACACAGTGAAGGTGACATACCCAGGAACTTAACAGAAAGAATTGGAAACATTTTTCTTCTTCATGCTTCTTTATTAAGATCTACCCACCTAACCATCATCAGAACATTCATAAGTGAGGAAACATTTTTCATTTCACTGCTGCACATATTAAAAAACCCCATTTTATAGCCTTGTTTAAAATCTCTTTCCAAACGTCTAGGAAAGAACATTTTGGAATACATGGTCCTCCAGGTGGATGTTTAATAGTTTTCATTATTGCTTCTAAATCGCCATTTATAGATGGTGAATGTGTGCGCATGACAAAAGGAAGCTGATTCTATGACTGTGTACATCAGCCTGAGGAAATACTATTTGCCATATATTTACAACAGGCACAGTCTACACTAAATTACTTTATCATTTTGTGTGGGTTACATCTTAGCTATTTCATCAGTACTGTGCCAAGGTTCAAAGAAAATGACTATAGGAAAAAACTATCAGCCCTTCATAGAAGAACAGTAGATGTACAATGTTTTATATTTGTACTTACCCCTCAAATAGGCAATTCTATAAAGGATATGCCTACAAAATAATTGGTTTGAGGTTGGGAATCTTGAACAGTCTCTTCCCTTTCCCTTTAGGTTCTAGACAATTTGAGAACTAGACGTAGGAGCCAGATGGGGGCAAAGAACAGCATTAGCTTTAATACCCAAGTCACATCGCTGCCTGATTAGGTTGGCAACAAGTATGGGCTTAGGGCTTGAACCAGAGGCAAATGTGCATTGTTTTACTCCTTTTCCCTAGAACTGTACCATTCATTCAGTTGTTGGCTGAGCAGATGAAGCCCTGCCAGTCCCACATTGTGACCATGTAACAGTGGGTCCTCCAAGGAGCAGACAACAGTGGGCTGAGATGTGGAAAATATTTACTGGGGAAACCATTTGTAAGGAAAAATGGGAAGGTGGTTAGACCATGATGTGGGTGAAGAAGAGTGGGACAGAGAGTTGGAGTGAAACCTCTTAGATCTCACTGCTGTTCTAAGGACAATTCTATAGCCGCAGTTCCTCCTCAAGAGTCTTGTCTCCCAGGAATGGGCTGGCCTTAGGATCCTGTGGCACTCAGTCATTGGTCACGAGCAGCCGTGGGAAGTGTGACCTCAGCGTGGTGCGGCAGGTGGGTTGCAGGGTGAGGCAGCTGGGACTGTTATTGAATTACCCTCCTGGCAGAAAGCTGATCCGACAGGCGTGCTCTCATGGCTGCCACAGTGATCAAATGTTCCTCCAACACCTTCCTTCCAGGGCTGGAGAATATGCTCCCCATGTCTAGCATAGGCGTCTAGCTAACAAGCAATTTCTTCTGCAGTAATGACTTTGGAGTTCTAGGAACCACACACAGCAACTGATCTTATTGTTTTAGTCACTGTTAATATGTATGTTTGGTGTATGTACACAGAGGCATATATTTGTCATTATGGTACATTCTTGGGATTAACGAACTAAACAAAAATCGGCAAGCATGTCGTCGATACCAGGCTCTGGAGGAGCCACAAAGAAAAGTATAGAATGTGGTCCTGCCTTAAAGCTGCAACAATATAAAAACATTAAATAATAAGGAATTTAAAATAGTTCCCAAAGCAGGAAGAGAGAAGTGGGCCTCCTCTTGCCCCATACTGTCCCACCCACATTCGAGAAGGTTTTGCTTATGTCAGTGTCAGTTTGTTTATGCTTCCAGGAGACGTTGTTGGAACAAAGGCTGACAGCTACTGCACCCCAAACAAAAAAAATGTTAAACTCCTGGACGAAGTCATTGCTAGAGCCAACCATGCACAAACATTCTACAAATCTCTGCTGTTCAGGCATATTAGGATCCTAAGATACGAAATTAAATTTGATCTCGTAAGGTGCTTCTCTTGGAAACACAAATCCTAACTAGTCATAATTTTTGTTAGTTATCAGACATTGAACAGTACTCTTGTGTTTTCTAAGTCATGTGGAAGTTACTTGTTTTCTTCTTCCAACTTTATTCCATATTCCTCCACAGACTTCAGGAGATCTTCTTGGGACTCTGAGGGTGTCTCAACAGCACAGGAATGCGGCTAGAATTATCCTTTGACAGAGAGACCAAATGCCTTTTTCAGTGAGCTGATCTCTTTCTCTTTTTTCTCTTCAGGGTGCTCCTCCCACCTCGGATGAGGAGAAGAAGCCAATTCCAGGAGTGAAGAAATTTCCAGGACCTGCGGTCAACCTATCAGAGATCCAGAATATTAAAAGTGAACTGAAGTATGTCCCCAAGGCTGAGCAGTAGTTGAAAGAAGGTGAGTGAAAAATTATTTCCTTCCTCTTAAAAAGACCACTGTAAAATGGATGAAGGAAGTTTTCCACAGGAGTCTGGAATTCCAGAAGCATTGATTAAGCGCCAGGTCCTTCAGTTTAGAGTAGTTTTTATCATGCAGAGGTTTTCTGGGAAAGCAAAGCTTTGTGGCCATTGAGGATGTCTGCCTGCCAACCCCTTTCTTATTTGGGGGAGGACAAGGTTGGGGGAGGGGAGATGCTTGGGAGGAGAACTTGAGGAGCTTTTGATTGTGGAGTCCAGGGAGCCCTCCCTCATTCCATGCCTCAGTTTCCCCACCCAGATGCCACAAAGAGTGATGAGCAAGTCCTGAGGAGGGGATAAGAAGAGCAAGGTGCTGAGGAGGTCTGGAAGTGTAAAGGGGGCAGGGACCAGTTTAGGCCTTGAAACCAGTAACCCAGATGTGTGCAAAGCGGACCAAGAGGACCCAGTGATGACTCAAAATGTGCATGAGGGAAGGGTAGGCACAAAACTGTACCTGCCATCCTCCCGAAGAGGCAGTGCAGGCAGGGCCTGTGACCTTATTTTCATTTTAACTGGATCTGCTCAATGATGACCCTTTGGTGAGGGCTCCGCCCTGCCCTCCATCTGCAGACCCGACACATGCGGACCCGCCTGCGAATTCTGCCACCAGGGGGCGTATGGAACTGGCCTGGCCTTCCTTTCCAACTCTCCTGTGAAAGCCTGAGAGCAAATCTACTTTGTCTAACATTACTGAATCCTGCCGTGCACAGTTTGTTCCATTCCTTAAGCAGAAGTTTAAGTTTAGAAGAGAGGAATCTATATTGATAACATAAAACAGGTATTTTTTTTTACTTCTACAGAGAAATTTATTTTTATTTTATTTTTTCTAATTCAAGTATAATTAATATACCATGTTGTATTAGTTTCAGGTATGATAAAACAGGTATTTTTCTGGCTGACTGCCCATTCATTCGTTTGTTTGTTCATCAAGTCACTCATTTATTCAACCAATATTTACTGAGCAGCTATCATGTCCTGAGCACTAGAAACATTTATTAATCACATACCATGTGCCATTTACTGTGTGAAGAGCATCATATCCATTGTTTCTGTTGAGCCTTATTGATACCCACTTACTGCCCTCATTCTTGAGATGGATCTTCTAGAAAGACTGATTTTCCCCATCTTTCATGCACCCTAAAGAAGAGGTGTGACTTCAAAGTTAGTGCTGTCACTTACTTGTTATCCTGCCTCACCTCTTCCTCCCACTGCACCTTATGAAGGATGGCATACTCCCTGTGGGTGTCAGTGTGAGGTCCTCTGACCATGTAGGTACAGGCACAGCATTGGGGCCCTGCTGTGTCTTCTCCTGTAGACATAACAGAGGACAGAATGTTCTCTGGGGTAATCCCATGTGTAATGGCAATGTTACTTGTGTCATGTTTATGCTGACTTACAATGACATTTGCAAGTTAGTTCTGGGGAAACGATTACTTTATTTTTTTTTTTAATTTTTTTTCAACGTTTTTATTTATTTTTGGGACAGAGAGAGACAGAGCATGAACGGGGGAGGGGCAGAGAGAGAGGGAGACACAGAATCGGAAACAGGCTCCAGGCTCCGAGCCATCAGCCCAGAGCCTGACGCGGGGCTCGAATTCACGGACCGCGAGATCGTGACCTGGCTGAAGCCGGACGCTTAACCGACTGCGCCACCCAGGCGCCCCTACGATTACTTTATAGTACAGAGAAGGAGGAGTTGTTTTGAGTTAAAATAAAAGAACAGTATCTAGTGTTTTCAGCATGCTTACATAAAAGAACAAAGGAGTAAAAATAAAATACAGTGGACTCTATGACTCTAGAATGAATCCCAGGAACCTGGTTGGGAACAAAGTTACATGAGCAGATTTGACCCAAAGTGTGGCTACACACACTTGTCATTATTTATGACAGAATGACACAAGTTGATGGCGAACATCATTACACTCAGTCCTGCTTATATAGCCAGGCGGAGATGGAATACTCCAATATGCTTGGGACAAAGCTGCAGGACCTTCTTGTAAGAAAGCCCGGGGAAGGGAGACTAATGTTTTGTAATATTTATCATCATCATCATCCAACCAAGGCGAGTTACATACATGAATCTTTAATGTAAACTTTAAAGGGTTTGGTTTTATGAAATCCATGTAGACCTAAATTTAACCCCAGTTACAGTTTCAGAAGAACCTGGTTTCAAAGATTCAAAGGAATGCTGTTTTAAAATTAGCTCAGAGAAGGGGCGCCTGGGTGGCTGAGTCGGTTGAGTGTCCAACTTCGGCTCAGGTCGTGATTGCATGGTTCATGAGTTTGAGCCCCACACCAGGCTCTGTGCTGACAGCTCAGGGCCTGGAGCCTGCTTCAGATTCTGTGTCTCCCTCTCTCTCTGACCCTCCCCCACTTGCACTCCCTCTCTCTCTCAAAAATAAATAAATATTAAAAAAATTAGAAATAAAAATAACATAAAATAAAATTAGCTCAGAGAGGATCTTGTACTATTATCTGGCAATGATTCTGCAGCCTTGCATCTGTGGGTACTGTAATGGGGAACAATATCAACTCAATAAAATATTAAAAAGTTACCCAAACATCCAGGACAAATTTTTGTTACTTCATTTTTCCTAGAGAAGACTTTAATGATTATTCTCTCACGAAGCAATTCCAATAATGCAAAACCACTCAGAGAGGCCTATTTTTCCTTATTCTTACAAGAATGTGAGAACCTACATTGTCAGAATAATTGATCTGAATTCTAAATGAGGACATTGCCAAGGAATGATCTTTATTTCTTGTAGGAGAGGTATTAAGTTGGTTTGCTTTTGACTTATCAATTCTTCTCCTGCAAATACGTCAGATTTTGAGACTTCCATGGTCATGGTTTGTGGTCACAGAGGGAGAGCATTTTATTTTTAATACTGATTGATTCAGTGGACTTATAAGGAGTAAATATCCTGGACCAGCCATCATTTAGCCCCTCACTGGTTGGATTGATTTCCTCCTTCTTGGGCTACCATTTTGTTACCTATCCTCACCATGTCCAATTCAATGATTCGATCAAACAGATTGTTGTTTGAAGTTTGAGTGAGTAAGTCCATAGCATCAAACACTGTGAACACCACGAGACTCAAGGCTCAAAGTCCAGGTTATAACTATTACAATATTTTAGACATGTAAGATAGACCGGCATCTCCTTCCAGCTGAGATCAATGCCTCCTTTTAAGTAGGATTTCAGATTCCTTCCATGTCCTATGCCATGGCTAGAATTTTTCACAGAAATTGGTTGAAAACATTACAGGATAGGAACCAGAAAGGCCGGTAACTAGCCAGTTGAGGACCAGGAATGGCTTTTGGCAAAGGACTTAGGGCCTGGACCCAATCAGGAACCAGAGCCAGGCAACACAGGGACAGTATGTACTGAGTCAAGACCAAGAGACACAGTACTGTCCCAAATGGGACCCCAATCCAGGTTGGTATAGTCATGGGGCACGGGGCAGGGTAGGGTGTTCAGTCACGTACCTCTCAAGATTCTCCTGGCTGTGAGTTAAGGTGGCCAGATGGTAATTTAAGCAAGCCCAGGAGCCAGAGGAAGAGACAGGACCAGTGGCAATGTCTGAAAACCAAGAGCCCTCCAGTACTCCCATGCTTGTTGTTTGCTGCTTGATCAGGAATCCCCCATGTCCATAGTCAGAAGCCACCACCTGGAGGATGGCTTAGGGCTGGTGTCCAACACTCTGTGTCCATTTCTGCTCCCTCTCAATCCTCAGATAAGACCACAGATGCTCAGTAAAGAACCTCTGTACCATGGCCATTTTCTTCATTCTGTGCTAAGATATATAGATAGCAACCTTTGTCCCCTGCTCTCAGGATACTTCAGTCTTGGTGGAAAGATAAAATAAAATACTCTAAAAGGTAAAAGGCAGCAATTAAAGAATTAGACAACAGTTCAGTGATTCAAGATATCCAACAGCTGTTTATGACCCCCTAAGTAGGCAGTTATGTTATGATTTATGAGAGGGAGAACTCATGATGATTTTGGGTCAGGGACAATTTGAAGGAGGTGCTGAAAATGGAATAGTTTAATAGAGGCTTAGAATTAGCCTCTGGACATATGGAATGCCCAGAACACCATTAATAGATAAGTCTAGTGAAAGCAAACAGTTCCTCTAGGGCAATATTCTTAAACTTCTGGAGTAGAGCAAAATAAGATCCCACAACCAGCCCATACCATCTCCTCTTTTTCCAGCAATAAAAGAACTCAGTGATAACAAAGAATTGGAGAGGAACAAAATAAATATCAAATAAAAATGATTAATAAAGGTAAAGCCTTAGGTCTACAATTATGTTAATGAACACAAAGGGCAGCAATTGAAAGTCCTGGGACCGATGAAGCACTAGAAAGAAACTGTCGTTCTGAAAAAGCTGCAGGAATTCTTCTCTGTGTTGGACACTGCAGCATGGCCACATGTTGTGTGGCAGCAGACTTCATGATTAGGTACTAAACCAGGGTTTCAGAAAGAGGCAACATTTTAGTGATTCTTAATAACCCACTTAATAGCTTTTGGACATGCATATAAGTGAAAATCTAAGGGCCAAATCCCCATTTGCTGTTAAGGACTGAGGAAAGCACTTGTGCTTTTGCATCAGGAAGACTTTTGAGGTCAACCAGTGGGCACTGGACCATACTCTGAGAAACACTGTGGTAGGGCTGTGAGAGTGAGTTCAAATGATCTGCAATGCCTACGTAGCCATATACACCACCATGATCTCAAGTTAGCCTCAATCCCATACCCCACATCAGTCAACCAGCCTTGCTTCTGGATTTTGTGTATGTGAAAAGAACTATTATGATGCCTGATAGAGGAGATGTGCCTTCTTCCAGCACTCTGTTCCACCCCTGGCATCTTCTGTTTATGCGGTCACAATAGTTACCAAAGTGATGTATTGGTTTTCTTGTTTAT